TCCCCAGGATTTGTAAAGCCTGGCTCAACTCGTTGTGAATGCGATCTTTGATAAATGTGTTTAGTCCAAAGAGCTACGCAATCTGTCATTTAACAAAGCTCAGACCAACTCAGTTTTTTTAATATTAATTTTCAAAAACATATGAGCAATGGTTTGAGCCTCCCTCCTTTCTCAAAGCATGCACGTGGACGTTTTCGTGCTTTATGTGGAAGGGATGCTGCAATGTTCAAGCATTGTGATGAAATACGCTGCATTGCGGTAGTTGTGCCCGGGTATGTATAGCCCCTCTTGCTTTAAAGAGTCATCTAGTAGCTACACTTCAAGTTATATCACTCTATGATGAAGAAATAACTGCGACAGATAAGAATGCCTTGATGTTTTGTAATGTTTGCATTCACTAACGCCAAAGTCATAAGAAGAAAAGGCTGACAAGAACAAAAGCAAACAAATAAACAAAAAATTGATTTACTATTGCAGAAGCAACAACAACAACAACAACAATAATAATAAACACAATAATCATTATTTTTAACTATTATAAAAATAAATTTATAAATGAACGTATTAAAATATATCACTAAGATGAATATAAAAAATCAAACACCCACGAAACCACCACTACATTAACTTATTATTTAAAAGCCATTAAAGAGATAATAACTCTTCGTTTCGGCCAAAAAATGAATTTTCCTGGAGTAAACCACAATTATCCCATACTTACCAATGGTTAATGAATACATTTTTACAATCAGAGTTAGTCCCTGTTTTTTTTTCTAAAAAGTTTGGTTTTTTGTTTTAACTTAAGAGTATTAAGAGATTTAAACAGAGTACAGCTATCAATGGAGGTCACGTGGTCTAAAGACAAGCTCAGATATCAGAATAATAGCTATAACTGCCGTTTTTGTGGTAAAACAGAATATATTATATTTCTATGAGTTATTCACAATGTTTTTATTGTGAAATATAGATCTCATACGAAGAGTTATTATCCCTTAAAGTTTTCCAGGCTTTGGATTAAATATGGTTCTTGATTACTGTCATTGCCCGTAATAGCCTGCACGGTCGTTTTTTATTTTAAATCAGAAGGAAAAAAAAGACAGGGCACAATAATTGTAGGGTATAATGATTTTGATAAGTTTCAACTAATTTTAATTAAAATTACTTTAATTAATAAATTGACAATTTCCAATTAAAAAAGGCAGGCTCATAAAGGCCATAGTAGATAAGTACATGTAATCTTGGCTTTTTACCGACAAAATGTAAACGTACACTGAATGTTTATATATCCCTCATCTTGTTACATGTGCATGTGTTAGATAAATCTCCAACCTTAATATCTCAATGTTGAACAAATTCGGATGATTCCGTACGTTCTCACGCGATTTACGGAAACGGTCGAAAGTAAACGACAGGGCCACGTACCTGTCCTGTAGTTAAGCATTTGCGTGGCCTACTTTTAGCATCCGCACCCTATTTTAGTGTATATGAATGTAATAGCCAATGGTAGACATTTTTTCCTCCTACATCTACTGGCACCGTTTCCAAAGCGGAACTTGGAGACGTTTTATTTACTGAGACAAAGATAAAAAATCATACAGAGGATGTCTACTGGATTGCATCTTGAGACGGTAAACAAGTATGATACGTAAGGCGGACGCCCATTTAAATTCTCCTCACCTTAACCGTTATATGACCCCTCTTATATATCTTGAATCGTATATAAGTCTAAATGACTTGGATTTATGACAGCAAGGGATTGCCGGGATCTATAGGCAACAGAGTTTGTGGCAAAGTGAAAGTTGAAGTGTTTAACGAGGACAACAGTTCGAATCTCCCATGCCAAAGTGAAACTTCAACCAGTGACAGACGACGAAAATGGCCGTGTAGAGTTTTAACTGTTAAAACAGCTAGGTATATTTGAGAAAAAGACAGTCAAGCACGTTGGACAGAGTATCAATTTTATTCATCTCCCATCAACATTCCAGTGGTTGCATCTTAAAGTTGTAAGTGCTGATATTGCCTACCCTTAGCCTAGAATATGATATCAGTCATTGCCTTATAAAGTTATATTTTATAGGGTAAGTGTATGATACATGTACTGGTAGGTTTTGAAACGAAGGGTGAATAATGGAGGCAGCCAGTGATTATTGTCATTGTAAAGTAACCCATAATCTCCGCGACGTAGTAAAGGTTACACTGGCTGCGCCAGGATGTCAGCACGCAGTTCTTTTGTGCAGCTGCTTTATACATTACATATATAGACTGGAAAATAATGGGAAATTCCCGAAGAATTAGGGCGTCTTTCCGGTAGGCCTAAACATTTTAGAAACGAACTCCTCGCTTTTCTCGGCTCGGCTAGAGAAATCTGGGGTTATCTTCTTAATTAATTATGAAGTAAATTGATCACTTAATTGATTCAGTAGATAATTGATTACGTTTGAAATATGTTTATTTACTCGTTCATTTTTTAATATTATATCCTTTTTGCTCAATGCCGAAAGCCATTTTACCCTTACATTACTTCAAACACTGTACCACTTCTACTACTGCCACTACGTGTGTACTACATGTAGGCCCTACTACTACCACTAATTAATTGTCAATTTCTTTCTTCCAGAATTGATGCAGATCCTTACATGAATGATTTGAAAAATGATCGAATCTATAACATGTATGACACTTTAGTCTAAAACTGCCTCCTTCAAACTACTGTGCAAGACCCAGACTTTCAAGTAGAGAGAAAAAGAGAAACTGCGGCTAAAATGGATCCCAAGCAACAAGTGTCTTTCCTTTGGAACCTCCAGGAGCCTTATAAGCCTTCTAAGGCGGACTTAGAGGTAGCAGGGCAATGGACAGAACTTGACTGGTCCTATTTAGACTTGCAGATCCTTCCCATGACGATGCCTTTGTGCACGAGGCTGAAGGTCTTCGACATAAGCGGTAATAATCTGGAGAGCCTACACGCGGTTGCCTTTAAGTTGAAAACTTTGGAAGATTTAGATCTGAGCGCCAATAAAATTACCGAGGTTCACAGCTCTTTAAGCATGCTCACCGGTCTGAAAGAGTTGAATCTCTCCAGTAATTATCTAACAGCGTTTCCCGTGTCAATCTGTGAGCTAGTCAATATGGAAGTGCTATACCTGAGCCATAACAAGATCAAAGAAATACCGGGTGAAATCAGCAGTTTAGTCAAACTGAAAACATTCTACATCAATTCCAACAGTCTTACACATCTTCCATTTGAACTGGAAGAAATTTCGAGTCTACGCTTTATTAATGCCAAAAATAACCCCCTTATACAGCCACCGACCGCCGTCTGTGATTCCGGAAGTGACGCAATTCTGCGCTATCTTCGCAACGCACGTGAAAAGGCGGTGAGAGCATGTCGTCTGCAGCTCAACATCCTAGGAGAGGTTTGCGCGGGAAAAAGCAGTCTCGTTAAATCTCTAACAACCGAGAAACCTCACCTCACAGCAGAAGAGGACCGAACTTGCGTCCTAGATCAACTTTTATGGGAAGAAGAAGATGTGACGTTTAATATTAATGATTTCGGTGGCCACGAGATCTACAGGGTTGTTCATAATTTCTTCCTTGCCAAAGATGGGTTGACGTTATTAGTTTTTGACATCGCGCTGTACGAAACGAGCAATTTCCACGCACTTATTGGACAGTGGATCGAAACGCTCTGCATGCGCGTTCCAGAGGCAATGATTGCCCTTGTTGGCACGCATATTGACGAATGCGGCCGTGAGGTAAAAAAAAAGGCAATAATCTTTTGTTCCTATAGTAAAAGTCACAGAAAGAGAAATGTTTCGGATTAAAACAAAGGTGATATAATGGTGCTTTCTATCTTTTTTATTGTCATTCAAATTTGGCTCTGCAAAAATCGCCAATAATTGCATTATTGCACAGCTAATTTTGGACAGATCGTGAAATTTTCTAACTGTTACGGTTTTGATAAGGTGCTATAATTGTTATAATTACAGGTAGCAGAGAGTAAAAGCCAGGACGTACTGGAACGTGCAGACAAGTTTATTCAGGAAAAGACGGGAGAAAGGAACACGAAGGAGAAGATACCGATTGTGGTTCAAAAAACCTTTCCAGATGCAATTACTGAAAAAGAAACCAAAAGAAGGAGGCAGTTTGGTGTATACTTGGTTGATCAGATATTTTTAGTTAGTTCTAAAAATCTTGAAGGATTCGACCAGTTGAAAGAAAAACTTATCCAGGTTGCTAAAACCAAAGCTCTTATCTTACCGCAGTCCTGGCTTGCCGTCTCGAAGTTCGTTCAGAAAGCCAAATCTGAACGTACTGACTGTAACTGCTTGTCGGTGCAGGAACTCTCTTGCGAATATTCGTCCATAATCCGAAATTCATCAGAAAAAGTAAAGAAAGCTGGCGCTTCTCGTAGAGAAAACCAAGAGAAAGTAGGACGGTCTAAAACTACAAAAGATTTTAAACCGAAAAAGCGAAGTTTCTTTTCACACACCCTCCAAAAACTACAGAGAGCGTTTTCGCCGAGGCAAGCAAAAACGGCACAAGCCTCCTCAAAGAGCACTACTGAAAATCAAGGTAAGGCAGAAATAAGAACGAAACCGTTTTTTTTTTTTTTTTTTTTTTTGGGGGGGGGGGGGGGCGAGGGTAAGAAACTGAGGTCCGTATAACAGAAAGTCCACCCTTCATGAATTCGTGCAGGTTAAGGTTAACTTGTCGTGTATGGGTCAAAATCTAGGGTTAGGTTTTTCTGTTCAAATCAATGAAAACCGAACCGTCTATCACAACTCTCTCATGTGTGATACTGGGTATCACACACGAGAGGCCTACCCGGAACATTGGTTTTATGTTTAAGGCCAAATATTCAGGGTACATTGTTCTACTTAAATCAAAATGCTTTATATTGTGTAAACAATTTCCACCGACGAATTTGTATATTTCCATTTAAACTTTCATTATTTTAAAAATCTGTTATAGCAATTCGCTTTAGACACACTACCCAGTGCATGTAGCCTAGGTCACAATAAATACACGATGATCAGTTCATCATTTTCTTCAGATGAGCCTTCTGACGAGACAGAGGCAGAAGACATCCAACTGCAGATGATTCTGGACACCCTCCATTTCCTACGTAAGACCGGCGAGGTATTATGGTTTCCAGAAAATTCCTTCCTTCTGAACATTGTGTTTCACAACCAGGACGTCGTGATAGACCTCCTGAAGGCCGTGTTCCGCCACGACATGGAGGATGAACTGCAGTACGACAAGGCGCCTTTCAGAACGGAATACACCCATCCTCGCTTTATCAACGAACGCGAAGACCTTCTCAAGCGCGGGATTCTCTCTCGGAAGATGATCGCCTGCCTGTGGGAGAAATTTGGCCTCAAGAACACCGAGATCGATGCCATGATTGAATTAATGCTGAAATTTGATTTATGCTATGACGTTTCCGTCCAAGAAACAGAGGAAGAAGTGGACTCCACGCGTGCCTCTCATTTCCATATCCCGTGGTTGCTACGGGAGACCAGACCAGGTGACGTCATGCTTCAGTGGCCCGCTTCACTTCCGTCCGACCACGTGCAACTTACGCTGGAATACCACTTCCAAAACAGCTGCCCCATTGGTCTTTACGAAATGGCCGCTGTACGTCTCCACCGGTACCTTGGCCCATTCAAGACGACCCGCATTGACTGGACGGACGGCGTCGTGGCTCAAGTGGGACAGGGCTTCTTAAATATGGAGAGAAGAGAGACTGCCACCGGCGGTTTAATAATGGTCGCAATAAGAGGAAAGAACGTGAGCGACTTGTGGCCTCACACTGTGAAACTCCATGACGAGATGGTAGAGATTTTGGAACAGGAGTGCCCTGGTTCTAGGTGGGAGGCGTTTTCTGTAATCGTCCTTTCCGGCGTGGCGTAATTTTTGAGTTCTAGAAAATGTGTTTCCTATTAGGCCTACTTATTCCATTTTGGGATCTCGATGTGTTTTAATTCAACCTTTGCATTGAAACATATCCAAGATACTTTTCGTATTATCCTGAAAGAAAACCTAGTCGTCGTGCGTGATTAATTATGTTTGTCGAAATCCTTTTTTGACATATTTTTGTCCAATCAACTTATTCAGTAAACGAAGATGACATGTCTGATCAAATGAAAAATATTTTTGACCTCTGACTGTCAATTCTCATCTGCAGTATCTTAATATTATTTTTCTAACAAGCATCCGTAATTATGTGCTTTTACATATATTATCTTATTTAGGTGTGATGCCTATTTGGTGTGTCCACACTGTGTAGCGGCTGGGTTTCAAGATCCCACACTATTTCCAGCGGAAGTCCTTACGAGCCCCCCGCCAATGACTCTCTCAGTGGTGCCATGTCTCCGTTCAGCCAATGGCAAAGTTCCTGCATATTTAGTTTATCCTAATGCTCAGGGTATGTCATCATAAAGGAACGTTTACATACAAGTTGGATTGGTCCTTCTGTTCCATTCTCTGTAGGCTGTCAGCTGATATAAGCAAGCTAATCATAGAATTTTTATTCTGTTAAGTTTTTCGAGTGACGTGGTTAGTAGATGGCACGGTGGTCGGTAGATTAGAAGATATATTTCATTTGGTTCTTATAAGCTCGCCCTTTGAGAGGCAACGTCAGACTGAGATGGGCTGCTCCAACTTGTATGGAATGGCTCCTTACGCTTCCCATCCAGAATTATACCTTGTTCAGATCAGATTTGAACGAATGCAATTTTAAATTTAGATGTGTCCGCCTTAATTCTCTGCGCTCTCAACATCCACTGCACTGCGCATCAATCCAGCCAAGAAAGTCTTCACTACTTTTCTCATAGATTTTTTATTCCGTTAATAAAACTCCCCTCTCTCTCACTCACTCACACACACACACACACACACACACACACACACACACACACACATTTACCAGTAGTGAGATCTTCACATATTTCATTTCTTTATATATTTCCAGACCAAGGTATCATGACGGCCGATCATCGGCGAGCTCTGAGGGCCCATCGCGTTCGACTCGTGGAAGACATCTCTAGCCCGTCAGCGCTGGATATCTTGAATCGCTTGTACGCAGCCGCCATTATTACGGAGAGGGAAATGGTCACAATGCGATCGGCAGACTTGAAATACGACATGGTGGAGGCGCTTTTGGATATTCTTCCGGGAAAGGGTGACCGCGCATTTGGGGAATTTGTTACTGGTTTGGAGTGTTGTGGCTATGGGGACATTGCCAGGCTATTGAAATACCAGTTTAAGTTTTGAATGGTATCTACTGGAACAGATGTGTAATGGGCTGTAAAACCCTGAGTTAAAGGGGTAACTTGGAACACACTTTTGTTAATATCGGAATATTGCTACTTCCATTTCCTGGTAGTAGACTTATCTTTGAGACTCAGGGTGCAGGCTGCGAACTTCATCATGCAACTCTGCTGTGAGCATATCTCGTTGAGATAGAGTGATGATCGTCGTGAGGTGGGACTTACCTATTAACAAAAATAAAAAAAAGTGTAAATATATGCGGTAGGGATGTCGTCTTAGAAAGGTATATAGCAGCCGTTAAATTTTTCTGTTGTGCATAAGAATAATTCTGCCGAACTTAAAAGAAAACAGCTAGAAATATATCGGTGGATAAATAGTCACAGCTTTTATTCTCTGTCGAAGCGCATTTGCTAGCCTGCTATTATTTTTGATGCCACTCTCGTCGAAATCCTGCGAAATCTCGCTTGATATACTATACGCTAATTATCAAAACTTTGTCGCTATCTCGGATTATTCCCATATTTGTATGGTGTGAGATGTCGTATTGAAAATTTTGAAATACTGTTAATGGTTTCAAAAATGAAGACCTGTATTTAGTTCTAAATAATTATTCGGTCAAATAGGTTTGTCATTGGCTTATGTGCTAAAAAAGGGATCCAAGCAAGACTGTACACTGAGAAAAATGTTTTGGACAACAGCTGAAGCTATGCAATACATGCAAGCAGGTTATTTCCGAAGGGCACGGAGAAGGCTTGGAAGAACGCTTTTTAAATTTCAGAAATTTTATCGACAGCTCATATTAATTGTCTTGCGCTTAATTAATAAGCTAATACGTTTTTTTTTTGTTTAACTACTGGACCTTTTCGTAAAACGTAAACACATACAGGGGAAACGTTTGAGACCTCCGAAGGATTGGAAGAAGGCTTGGTCGAGCCTTTCATATATATATCGAAAAAAATATCTTTCAACAATTTCTAGGGGGGGGGGATGGGGGGGGTGCGTCCCCCCCTGCAACCTACAGTCTTGGGTTGTTGTGAGCATTTTTTTACAGTAAAGACATATCTCGCGTTAGCTTATTTGTTAATTTTAAGAGCAAATTCGAGACCAACTTCAATTGAATGAATATAAATGTAATAGTTAGAAAAGTTTCAAAATAGGCCGGCAGAATAAAATAAAATTTATAATCTTGCTCAAACATTGTTTTAAAGATTTCGTCTTTTAGTTTATAATTTTAGTTACTTTTAAATATCCGGTTGATTTTACTTATGATAAATAGTAAAACTTCAACCTTTGGGTTGCGATTCTAGCAAATAAATTATTATTATTATTATTATTATTATTATTATTATTATTAACGCCTTCCAGTCCTAAATGCATTTTTAGTGCTGTACCTTATTGTGGCGCAACTAACACATCTGCATTAATGTGCTCAGAAATATATAAAGAAGATGTGGGCCAACCCTAAGTGATTTAAGGTCCTGCTTCATGAAGAACTTTTTTTTTAAGGGGTAGACTGAGTCCTTAATCCGACATTATTATTTCATTTTAATTTTAATTTTTGAACACGCGCAGCAGTGGTACACGTACTCGACTCTCTCTCTAAAACCCTTTTCTCCGGCACTAGCCGCATTCACGACTTGATAGTATACTAGCATAATGTGCATTTAATAATTAACTTAAAAGATTTTGAACACCTCGCCTCGTAATAATCAATATGACGGATATAAGTCAACGCAAACACGCTGTTTGTCATCTAAAAATAACCAATAGGTTTTGCCCTCCAGAAAGCATTTCATGATTGGTCAGATTGTCGGCTGATATAGAACTAGGTCACTCGTCGGCCATCATAGAAATTAGCATCACAAACAGAAACCTGCGTTGGAAATATTGAGAAGAAGAAATCGTTTAAAGATATCAGCGACTCAATAGGTAAGCGAGAGCTTATTTTTTGTTGTTTATGAATAAAATTAGAGTTAAGTTCATTGTTAAATTGATGAGGTTTGGCGTGGAGAGTCATTTTTTAAGTCCTCATGAGTGACCTGACGATCTGTCAAGAGTGAGGTCAAATTAACTTGAGAGTTGACTTGCCGACAGTTTATAAGTGAATTGGCCCTTCCGAAGATACATGACAAAAAAGTTAGCTTAAACTCACTGTTGAGAGTTGATTGTACTACGATATCTAGCTTCGTTGTTATATGAAATGTATTTAGCATCAGTTTAAAACTGTCGAGGTTGAGATCGAATTGTGGAAACTGGACTTGACTCACAAGTATATCAATTTCCACATTATTCAGTCTGCGGTTTATTATGTGGTACTCGAGGCCTTGCCTAAATTTAGCAGCGAAAAAGTACACTTTGGTGTTCGTAAAATGTGTAAGTTTGTTGACTAGTTTTTCTAAATCGGTATTTCTCGGATCTTGTGACATCTTCTGGTTGTGAAATATCGCAACATGCTTATTACTCATCATAATCATATCATGTTCAGGATGCTTTTATCAATGTGGCAATTTTCAGTGATCAGGCATTTTAAATAATTGAAATAGTAGGTGTGAATTTTCATGAAGAAGGTGGGTGTATTCCTTGAATACTGCTTAAAGTATTTGCAGTAAAACACTGTCAGCAGCAATATGAAACAAGCAATCGCCAAAAACTTGAAAAAGTTTATTAGTTTATCAGTCATGGGTAAAACTTTCTTAAATGTGTAGTTGTTTAAAGATAAAAAGGTTTATTGGTCAGCACAGTTGAAATGGAGTCTTGATTTTGTTTGTAGAAATTATTACAAACAAACTAAAAACAAATGATGTACGTAGCTGAAAATTGATTTCCATTTTAAGGCTCTCTAGACTACTGTCTGAGTGCAGTATGTGCTACAATTAAACAAATGAATAAAATTAAGTAAAAAAAAAAAAAAAAAAAAAAATATATATATATATATATATATATATATATATATATATATATATATATATATATATATATATATATATTGACTAATCGGGTATGCAGAACAAAATTGTATCTTAGATATTTGTATTGACTTCACCTGTAGTATTTCTGTGGACGTCTGTCAGTTGTGATAAATGGCTTTTTCTGAGTTGTTGTCTTTAATATCAGGTCACAGGTGATATATTAAATTGTCATGACAGGTGCACAATGTGACACAGTTGCAAATGTGACACAGGTGTGAATGCAACATATTGCAATATTATATTGTAACATTTATTTGGCTTGGGTACAAATTTAACAGAGGCTGTGATCCCACAGTAGAATGTAAACAGCAGTGTAAACTGAAATTGACTCAAGTCATGTATGAGTTCAAAAATTTATTATGGTCTTGTGCATTTACCATAAATTTATCATCACAACTGCAACATACATTTTTTAATTTTTTTTTTGTTGGGTCCAGTTTCACATTGAAGTTGCTACCATTTATTATGATAATCATTACATCCATGACACCTTGAATGTTCGGTGGGAATATATATCCTAAGTCACCCTGAAAAATGCTACATGTGCAACTTTCTACCGAGATGTTAAACTGATAATTTCATGATGCTTCCACATTTCTATAATATGTGTGTCTGTCTTTGATATATACTTTCATTCATAAATTGGCACAAAACTCATGTTTAAAAACAGCTCTTAATCCCATCCTCCAGCCGTATTTAGTTATAAAAACACGCCAACGTCTGTTCTGACTGTGGTGCACTCTTGATAACATATGTAGGCAGATCAAAACATACAATTTGTAATACCTGATGCATCTAATTGACGTAGTATGTGGCCAGAAATGAGGGCTTAAGTTAAGGCTTGACCTGGTCATTTTGGGACATTAAACGGAATTCCATTAACTCAAACAGTACGTGTAACCTAACCTGAACCGTGATACTTGTAACTTGAATTGCTGTAAACTACAGTCAGTTTTTCTAAACTCTAATTGGAAATGATCTACAGAGTTTTAAAAATGATTATGAAATGACTTGTCTGTAGTACATTGTCATATATAACCATTGATACCATTCATAACCATATCATTGAAGGATAAAAAATATTAAAACTATATTTTATCTAAATGCATAACTATTTTGAAAGTATGAAACACGAGTGGCTTGAGATAGAAACTGATAAATAGGCCTATAGGTCATTTGATAGAGAGGCAGTTGTTTGTGTTATTATTGTCATTTCATTCGGCTGATGTCTGTGCTTGTAAACAGATCATTTCATTAGATAAATCCATTGTACCAAAACTGTTGCAAAACTCAACACAAAAGAGTTGACCTATTTGGAAGATTACCAGGTCTTCTATTTAATTATATCTGATCGAGTTGGACTATCTTTCCGTTTGATTTTGAATGGCATATCATAACAACTAAAAGTCTCATTTATAATGAAAAAGAACGCAAGTTAACAAAATTTCAAAGAAAACCACTCTGTATGTCATTTGAATTTACATATTGAACTTTTTTTACCATCCAGAAAAATGACATGAATTTTGGTTTATTTTTACTGCAAGTTTTAAACAGCAAGTTTAACCAATAATAGGATGTTTTTATAATAAATTTGATGACGCTGATACCTACGTGTGTTACTGAGTGACCCAAATATATTAGAGGTGTGTCCAGTATGACCAATCATCTAGTTTGTTATGGTTGTTTTGATGCTTGGGTTATTGCCCTCTCTAAGTAAACAAAGCCAAAAGACCACTTTTTCATACCTGTGCTGGGATTTCTTTGCACTTGAGGGCTGAAAAATGTTGTTGTTTTTTTTTTTTTTTGTAATATGAGGAAGGGCATTCTTTTTTTGCTGGATTTGATATCAATGACTGGTTAAAAATCAATGTATAGGTGCTAGTAAATATTGCAGTTACTATATTGTACTTACCTGTAGTTTTTTTTCTCCCACATTCACCAATGTGTTGTTGGTAGGAATTTTTAGGAAGGGCAAGCAGTGAAATGTAAACATTAGCATTTGCTGCTGCTTTGCTTTTAACATATGTGTTTGTTAAGTGCATTTGAAGACCACGGGTAAAGGGCAGGTTGTTGGGTTTAATTTGAAGCCCCGTGTCATTTGTAGTCTTGGAAATCGAGATATTGATTTACATTGGAAAGTTGTGATTTTTGGACAATTTCTCCTGTTGATAAAGATAAAAGAGGACACTACAATTTAGTGCCCTTTTCCATCTTTCTCCCTCCAATTCTTGATCTCATATTAGTAATCTTTTGATGGAAAATAACAGCATTTTTATTGGGGGAGGGAGGGGAGAGGTTAAAATTCACTTCTTCATGGTGGTGTCAATTTTGAAAGACAAATTCTGAAATTAACAACATAGTAAACAGTTTCAGAACAGAGGAAAAGGAAAATATATCAGGTGAATCACATTAATCAAGTCAAGGTCACTTACCGTGTGCAAAACTGATTTTACGTAAGAGGTCAAAATGCCGGGAGGTGTGTCAGTGGGCTGGTGTGGACAGACTGACCAATCAGTGACCTCTGTTATGGCAACACCTCTCACACACCTTCTGAAGTAATGATCACTATTGTTATACTGACCAACATGGTCCAGGTGCTGGGGGACATTGGTCAATATTTAAGTTAAGTCGACCATTGTCTGTAATTTTTTTTACTAAAATTTGGGGGCTAGGTGGATTGTAAAAGTGCAGAATTTTTTCATTCTTTTAAATTCTTAAATTAAATCTTAAATTTCAACTCTTTACAATTTTTATTTATAAATTTGTATATATTTATTGAAGAATTATAACTGATTAAAATTACTGATTTGAAAAAGGTGAAATATTTTCACTGTCAGCTTTTTAAATGAATCATTCCATTAACATTAATACGTACTTTATTTAATCAGGGTGTGAGGAATGAAGATGCAAGGGGGGGTATAAGTTGATTAATAAATACATGCACTTTGTCAGAACAGCTTGTTGGGTATATTTATATATAAATGGAATGTAAAG